GATAAAACTTTTTATGAGCAAGTTTAAAAGAGAAACTACTAACTGATTCAGTATTCGTTTTTCCAGTTTTGGGAAAAAAGCAGGGAAAAATCCAAGAAGTTACTACTCCCAGAACTTCTTTCCCTCAGCCCCAATACAGGCCACTGTAGCTCTAATAACTGCTAGAGCTGTGCAAGTTTCAGTCCCTGATTCAATTCGGCAGAGATTTGGCCTGATTCAGTGGCTGAATTTCCAGTCTGAATCAAATCAGAAGACCCTTTAATCTCTCTGAATCAAATTGGAACCCTCCAAATCGATTTGGAGAGATTCGGTGATTTGGATACAGACACAGGTTTAAATGTTTTTTCTACATACCTCAAGGTACCAGGCGGCTTGTAAATGCTGCGATGGTGGGGCGGCTGGAGCATCCCACAGGAGCATGGAGGGCTCCCCTGCACGCTTGGCAGCAGACCCAGAAGTGGACCATTTTGCACACCCCTAGTAGCTGCTTCAATCAAGGTCAGCTGGAATAAGACTACCTAGCACTTTTGTTTTCTTGAATACTGCTAAGTGCAATATTTTCAAGGGCAGAAATTCAGTATTTAGTAAGCTGACACCATATACACATCTGTAAATGACTCAAGGAGCGCAGTGTGTACTTCAATGACTAAAAACCTAGAATACTTCCATTTTACACTTTTAACCTTTAGAAAACACTTTTAAACCTGCACAAAAATAACTAATAAAAATTGGAAGGTTTAGATATTAAGGAAGTTTGTGGATGGAGGTCTGGGCCATTTAACCTAAACACAGTAGTTCACAAGATGAATCATAAACAATTCATTCAAATTACATTCTTTAAAATGTCAGTTGACATATAGTACCAAAACAAAGTCTCCTAGCTATCTCAACAGTAAAAAAATGCAGAAAAATACAAAAAGTGAACATTACATGTGTGGCTTTTCTTCAACCTGAATTTTGCTGGTTGCTGATTAATAGGATTTTTATTTAAAATCGTTTTTCTAACTGGATACTATTCCAAATATTCTCTGAAATAAGATTTATTTAAAACAAAGATGCATAGTTAAAAAGGGCATAATTTATCACTTCAATAATACAGTTCAGATTTCTTGAAACAAAAATACTGGTGCCATTTTCAAAATAAAGCATTTTCTTCAAGTTTTTTGTTTCAAAGAAAGAAAGTTATCTACCCATCCAAAATAAGGAGGTGAACATGGTGTTTGACTTTTTAAGCCAAACGCACCAAACACATTTTAAAAAAGTCAAGATGCTATAAGTACTTCAGAAAAGTCACTGGGCCCACTCTACTCCATTCATACATCTTAGGCTGCAAAAAGGTAGCAGAAATCACACAGAACACATCTGATGGGGCTTTCCCAGGTATAGGGTAGTCAATCAGTGGATACAGAACAAGCAAAATTAGCTCCGATGTCTCCCTTCCTACAACCTCTAATGCAGGTGATATACCAAGATATAGAGATGCATGTTAAAGATGGGGGAAGGGCACACGTTGCATAGCATGGACCCCATTACAGATCAAGGAGGTCCATTATTTCTTTGGCATCAAGCCCAGCTGACACTGATTGCAGCCACCCAGGCTCTCACACCCAAGAATGAGGCAGATATGGGGCAGCCAGAGCTACTTTTTCTTATCCAGTGTGATAAAACTGATGGCCCTATGAGTTGCAGGGAAGGCAGTAAAAGAAGCAGAAACAGGGAAAACAATATCTTCTATCTCCCAGTAGTGACACAATTGATTTCAAGGCACTAATTTAAAAATACCAGTGAAGGACTCAGAAAGTACATTTCCAATATTTAATTGTTTACAATCTCAATATAAACTTTCTTCTGAATACAACTACTCAAGTATGGCTAGCATCTCAGGGTGTGAAAAAATGTCCCATTTTTCCAAGGAAAAGTCTTTTGTTCCAGGATTCTACCAAAATTCACCAACCCACTTTAAGAACCTCTGAAGTACCAGGGATTAAACATACTCACCTCCCTGCTCCCCCGCGTCAGTGTTGCTTAGAAGTGTAAGCTAATCGCAGCTCATTCATGTTAACTGCCATTCATTTCAGGGACAAGCCTGTCAGAGGGGCAGCAATGAAGCTTGTATGGGCTTAGTGAGTGCTGACAAATGTGCAGGTCCCCACTGTAAATGGTGCTTCGTATAAAGTGGCATGAGTTTGAGCAACCCCCGCTACCCGACTCAACAGATGTTCGCCTGGATGAGGGTTAATTGGATGAAGGTTAATTTATAGCGGGATTAGCCACTTTTAAAGTGCTTTGAAACTATGTACATATGTCATGGCAAGCTGTAGAGCACTTTCAGGGAGCCAATCATGTGACAAATGTAACTTCTGTCTGTGCCCAGTGTGTAACTGGCTATCCTGCTCATCCGCTGTCCCAGGCTTTGACTTGGATCAATCAGATGAACTTAAATGAAAAGTGCTCTCTACTATCAGGAATCTTCCAGTGTAGACATTTATTTGCATGGGGTGGTAGGGGGGAGAAAGCTTTCTGAAGGGCTGAAGGGAGAGTAGAAGCACAACTTCTGTAGTCCAGTCTTCATACTGAGTTCTGTACAAAAATACTTAAAAAAAAAAAAAATAAACCAAAACCCTCAGAAAATAATTTTCTTGGCTTTCCTTAGAGAAGAGATGGCAAAAGTATTGCCCAAAGGCCGGATCCAGGCTACAGAGCAGTTTGATCTGGCCTGTGCATCACGACCAACCCCATGTGCTGATTCTTGTCCCATGTGCTGCCTGTGGCACCTAAGCTGAACCTGGTACTGCAAGCAGCACAGGGGGTCAGTCCAGTGTGTCGCATGCAGCCTGCACCTTGGGCCCTTGGTGTAGTGTACAGAACTAAATTCAGCTCATGTGCTTCAAGCAGACAAGCTCTACACACTGCGTAGGACACAGCAGAAGGCACATGCTGTATGAGGCACACCACCAACCAGCCCTACCTGCTAGCTCTAGGTACAGCAGAACACCACATTCAGCATGTGCCTGGTACCAGCTCTGGGGACTGCTGCACATGCAGTCCCCAAGGCCAGCATGGGGCGTGTGCTGCCCCTGGCATGTGGATCCAGATCTGAAACCCAGAGCTGCCAGCAGTGCCAGGTCTAGCCTGCATGCTGCAGACTGCAGACACCCCAGGCTGGCCCTGATGGCTGTGTGCACAGGAAGCGCTGGGGATGGCATGGGCTGCACATGGGACTGGACCCAGCACCATAGGTGCTCCACAGGTGGTCGGTCCCAGCTCAGCCTCACCTTGCAGACTGATTCAGGGATGCTCATCCAGCCCACAGAGCTGTATAAACTTGATAATCTTGGCTCAGAGCAAAGTATACATTCATTTTTATCAGAATTATTAGTAGCTCTCAGCATCTACACCACTAGACTATCTGATTATATAAATCTTTTCCAATATTTTCTAGTTATATATGTTGTTAGCACAAAATAATGTAACTGGGGGCAGTCTTTTTGCACAATTTTGGTATATTAAGCAAATAATAAATGCCAATATTATTTCTGGATTTTACAGAAAGGAAAGCAGCTGCAAGAGTTCTCATTGTCCATATAACTCAAAGGATTAGACACGGTCTGTACAGTGTAGGCATGAAAAGAAACCTAAGGCTTTTAGAATGGTAGGCACAATTAATTATTTTTAAATATTTAATTTAGAAACATTTATAATGTATGAATAAATGCTCTAAATTTAGAAATAAATTTAACCAGTTCTTGATTAAATGAAGTTTCTTAATATTGTACTTCAATCCAAATAATGAAATGTAAAATAAAAAGTAACCAAATTCTGAATCAAGTTTAAGAACGAAATAATACATTTCTTTCCACATATGAGCTGTAACTAAATTTTTGTTATTTTATTTTGTAGTTATAAGTGGGCACCTCTCTGTTGTCCTTCGACCCACCTAACCTTAATTATCTTCCTATTTAGAACTGCATTTTATACAATACATCTCTATTATGAGCTGCAATTACAATCAAACTACTTTGATTAGCTTTCTGAAGATGCCAAATATGTAATGTTAGCTTAAATTAAACAAGGATGACTAAAAAGCTTTTTATTTTATTTGAATGTTGAAATTTACAGTGTAGTGAACAATTTTTATTGCAGTTGTTTTATAGTAAAACATATGGCACAATCCATTCAACTTCTATACACACTCTCTCTTACCATGTCAGAGAACAAATAAATCTGAGTAGGATTCTGAGACTTCTACAAACATCTTTGCGGTACTGCAGCTGACCACTCCCAGGTTTGTCTCTCAAAATGGTGAGGTTAGTTTCTCATTTTATCATGCCATAACTTGCTTGAATACAAGGCATACTACAATTTATTATGCCACTAACACATGAATGATGCAATATCTGCAAGGACCTTTTATATTCACATCTGAAATGTCAGATCCCTGCATTGATATTTACATATGGTTACCAATGGTTAAAATGGTCTAGCCAAAAGGCACCGTTGGCTTCTTGTCATGGGCATTTTATGAAGTAATTTTATGACAGACAATTATAAACTTCGTTTTTGATCTTCAGACCTGCACTTTGGTGTTCTGTTGTGTTTAATTCTCCTTCTAGGATTTCTCTTTATTAATCAATACTTTTACTGAAAAGAAGCAAATCCACTGTAAGTAAGAAGGGACAGCAAGTACTAGCCTGAGTGCTATGATATTATTTTAACTTTACAACTATAAAATACCCCCTCAGATATCCACATTTTATTTTGTCTCAAAGCCTAAAAAGTGCTTTATGTGCATGTTAAGTGTACTGTTTATAAATCACATAATTATTTATTGTGCTTCCCCTAATACTTGCTACTTTAAAGCAACATAGACATATTCTAACATCAACTAGGGTCATCAGTGAGTATTATAGATGCTTTTTGTTCCTAATAAAAGATTTTTGAAAAGTTAATAAATGGAAGTAGAAGACCAAATTCTTTTTAAAGGTGGCAGTATATACTACCTTTAGCACTTGAACTTGACCTTCAGTAGTTATATCTTTTAAGAGGTCACAGAATGACTGGCACAGGTCAGTTGCATACATCTGAAATTAAATGAGAAACAAAATGAAACGTATTATAACATGTATAATTAACATGTTATTATATAAAAAGCAAACCCCCCCGATACTGAATTTCACTTATTATTGCAATTCCCAGTGATTTTTTTTTAAACTAAAGCTGTAGAAATTGCAGCAATTCTTGCATTCAAATCAAGATTTACATTTAAATTGCATGGTATTCTTAATTATCAAAAAGTAGTACATTATTGTATACCTCAAAAAAAAATCTAAAAGGACCCATTAGACTTAGGGTGAAAAAATAAAACAGCGTACAGTGTAGCTAATCTGGAATAGCAACTGAACAAAGAATGAATAAAGATGTTCTCTTAAGATAAAGCATGACATTGACTCTTTCATTTCCCTTTTCTTCCTCTTCCATATTCTCTTTTTAGAAGTAAGGATTTTTCTCTTTTCTTCTTATCATTTATTGCTCCCCACTTTGTTTTCTGACATTTTCTATACAACTCTCTCTTTCCTCCAAATCTTCATTTCCTCGCAACTTACTAGTCTCTGTCTCCAAAATATTTCTCAGTTGCCATTCCTATCAGTAACCTACTGTTAATTTTTACAAACCTCTAGATCAGAGCTGTCAAACTTCTTGGAGCAACACACTGCATTGGCTGCAGTCCCTAGAGCTGCATAAGGTACATGCCACAGATTGGGGGCTGCTCGCTGTGTAGCCAGTCCTGCCACCCCCACCACGTAGACAGGCTAGTATGCCCTGCACCACCCCACTGAGCCTGTTCCCCTTCCCCCTGATGCTCATGCCATCTAGACAGCCTCTCCCAGGCACGTGTGCTGCAGGGACAACCTGGATCTCCCCCACCTCACACAGGCCACACAGGACAACCCCCTAACAGCCCCTACCAGCCCTTTGGCCACACATGCTGCAGGAGGAGACCACCCCCCATTCCTTCAGCAATGTAGCCTAGCTCCCCCGTGGCACCCAGAGCACGCCCTACCCTCCCAGCTATGGCACCACCTGCCAGGGAGCCTGGTTCCTGCCTCTTGTGTACAGTGTGAGCAGCCCAGCCCGTTCCCCAACTGCACATGCAGAATGGGGACCCTGGCCCCCACCTGCTGTGCTGCTCTGCCCCCAGGAGCTAGGAAGCAGACACCAGAGGAAGGCAGGGGGGCTTGAAGAACCTAGCAGCTGTGAAAGAACCAACAGCAGGGGTAAACAGTGGTGGTTGGGAAGGAGCCAGCAGGCTAAACCTTTGTGGGCCACCAGTTGGACAGCCCTGCTCTAGATGTGCTACATCTCACTACAATGCATCTCTCTCAATCTCTTAAATCAGTGGGAGTTACTGTTATTCACAGCCCCAGTAAATGTAATCCTAACTCTGAGCTCAGATTTATTTACAAACAAGAATAGATATTTAAGAACAGCACATATTTCAGAGTAGTTTATGTTAATTCTGATCTAAAGCAGATTACAGCTTTATATTTATTCATTTCCATGACCAAACTAATATTTGATTTGTTGCTGATATGACCACACTGAAAAGAACCATGTGGTGAATCTAGGAAATATGATGTTTAGATGACAAAGATAAAACATTTTTTAGATTAAATTAAATATTTTAGATTTTAAAATATCGGTTTAATAATTTGCTAGTGTTCCTTTGCTATTAACAAATGTAGTGAATAATTCTTAGGTACAAACTACTGAAGCAAGATGTGACAGCATTTCTGAAATTCAGATACTTAACAGAAGCAATGTGTGATGCGTCTTCTTTAAAAGCAAGTGCATTCAACAAATTCTGCACATCTAGTCTAAGATTTTTCAAGAATCCTGTCTCATATAAGATTAACAATATTCATTTAAATTCTATACTTCCTTACAAATATCATTGTAATCAAGAAATGAAACAATTACCATTGTATAGAAATCAAGATTTGCACCAGTACTTTTATTTTTCATTAAACTCCTCCTATAGTGATCATAAAATCCCACCACTGAATCAAGTCACAAAAGTAGTAAATCTACAGCTACAAATTCTGGAAATTTCAACCTTGCTTTAAAGAGATAATGGTCTAGATTAAAAAAAACAAAAAACTTTTGTTTTAATATTCCAACTAAGAAAAGATTCCAGGCACTTAAACTCTAATTAAAAAACAATTTATATAAGTAAAATATAAAATTTTAAACCAGACACTGGGTAGAAAAGTAGAATGTATTTATACTATAGTCCCCAAAATGTTATATGAATAGCAACCCGGTCAAATATAAATTCTACTTAACACTCTAATGTTCCTTTCTGCTTATAGCTATAGCATTACTATACATTATAGTTTAGCAAAAACTACCACCTAAATTGTGCGAGTTCCAAACCAAACTTCCTAGTCCATAAAGCAGCAAATCTAGATTAAAAGGTGCATAAAACCTAAACTGTATCTTACAACTTTCTTCTTCTTGCCGAAAGAAAAGACACATGTAAGTGATATTGCTCTTATTTCAAGCCTAACAAAAAAAAAGTCTGGTTTGCTTTCCTCACAGTACAAAAGAAAGCTTAACAAACAGATGACTGTTTTTATTGTCATATTTCACTATTTGAGAACCATATAAGATCACATAATGTTTGATTATATAAAAAATATAATTAATGTTATTAAAATACCAAGGTTGCATCCCAATAAAGCATGGATGAATATGTGGCAAAATTTCAGCAGTATATTAGGTAATTTTAATAATCTACACTGGGATTAAAAATATATCTATTTCTGAAATAGCAGTGGAAGATACAAGAGAGCATATAACCTCTGAGTTACAAACCAAAATAAAATAGAAAGGGAAGTAAAACATTCTAAATAAAATTTAATATGATACTCTATACTTTTGGGAACTATCATCAACTACTTTAGGGGTGACCACAAAGCCTCTGTCTGCATATGTCACTTCTTGATCATTTCTAATGGTGGAATGTTTCCACTGGTAGAAATGGTTCTGGGAGAGGGAGCAGTGAAAACATTCAGCCTGCAGCCATCCTCTCTCCCTTGCTCCTTGCGCCTTCCCCAGATGTGGTGATCCAGGCTCCTTCAGTTCACCTCTGTTTCTAAGTGAACTGGAGCAACCAGGCAAAGCCCCCTGTCTGCATCTCACACCAGTGACTCTGGTTTAAGAAGCAAGCAGGGGGCTTGCTGTATTGCTCCTTCCACTCAGATCCCAGTGGAACTCTAGTGTGAGAGGCAGGTGGTGGGGTCTTTAACCTGCTATCCTGGGAAGAACTTCCCTGAGCCCAAATCCCAGCTCAACCAGCTTCTCCTTGCTTCCTGCTGCTTCTCTGTTGAGTGGTGCAGATGGCAATTTGAAAGCCATAGCGGTCAGGAACTAGGGGTATGAAGGCTTTCCCTAAGTCTTGTTCTGGCTCTTGGGGCTTTGTTTTGCCCTTGCCTCCCACCTTTCAGCAACTTAGATGAGCAATGGGGAAGGGATGGGGAGTAGGGGAGCAGTGGGGAGGCAGGTAGGGAGCTGCACTGTTCTCTGTGCTTGTGTCCTAGTGATCAGCAGCTGAGAGGAGGCAGCAGTACATCAAATACCCTGCCCGCTACTCACACAAGGAACTATGGAGTGATAAGCAGGTGAGAAGCAGCTGTCAGCTGCTCCTCCCCTCCCAGTCTATAAGACAGATGGGAGCAGCTGCCCCCTGCCCTTTATCAAAACCAGGGTGACCCTGGCCCCTGGAAGGCACAGATGCCCTCCCCCAGCTCCCTTCCTCTTGGACCCCAGGAGGAGGTAAGCCAGGGGAAAGTGTGCAGATGTTCAGTCTCCTGGGACTGATTTCTAACTGGTGGTTGTAAGGTTATTTTTTCCCAGAGCTGCTATTTTTGCTTCAGGAGAAAAAAGTTTGAGCATCTGCATGCTTCTGGTTTCTACCAGGAGAACAGGGATTCTGCTGGTACAAACAATGTCCATATATAGCAGACTGGGAGGAAACAGGCCGATATTAGAGCAGAATGCAGAAAACAAAGCAGCAGATCAGGCAGAGAGCACAGGGCAGGGAGAAGTGAGTGGGAGAAAAAGATAGGAGAGACATTTGTGGTCGGGGGAGGGAGTCATGAGGCTAATTTCTGGCCCATCTGCCAAAAAGATCAGACCCCAGTGAATTTTATTTTACTGAGTGCCCATAAAGTGCTTTGAATCAGTTACTACACCAAGATGTTATAGATATTAGGATCTGATATCAAAAGGAGGACAAAAGTCTTAGGGCATAAGCTATCAAAGTTAGATGGTGAATACCAAGCTTAAAAAAAGAAGTAACATGAATTTCCCACATACCTGTAGAAATTCAGGAGAGGATAAAAAAATGTAGGCATTGATGATCTTAAAGCAGGTTCTGAGGTTTTCTGAACTTAGCTCTGCAAAATAAAATTGGCAGATCACTTGGTGTATTACTAACAAATCAACTTACAATGATGTAGAGGAAAATAATTCACTTCTTAAAATAATCTTTTCTTGCATATGATGTTTACATGTGGTTATTTCCCTCTTATTTTATTACATCACAAAATTACTTACCTGTAGTTTCTTTTCATATAAAACAATAATTTTGTATTCATATTCCTGTATTCATATTCCTAACACAAAGTCATTTTACAACTATAACTTTGGGACAAGGCACCTTGTCAACAAATGCAATATTCCAAAAAATTAAAATGGGAATAAATCTGGGCTCGTATAGTAACACAAATAGTGTAACATAACAGGGATTGGTAACCTATGCCCCATGGACCAGATCAGGTCTGCAGAGCCATTGGATACTGGCATTTTCAGAAACATTTGGCTGCAGGGGGTTTTCAGTCAAGCTGCACTGTAGCTGGGCAAAGGACAGCTTCACCCATTCTTCAGCTAGGCAGTGGGGAGAAGTAATGGTAGCAGCCAGGTCCTATCACTAGCCCTCCACAGAGCCACGCTGGGTCGTTCCAGCCTGCCACCAGAAAAAACATTGCTGGCCACTGCAATATAATGGTGGTGTGAGCACAGGAGGGGGATAAGTGGCAAGCTCTTTAGGAAAATGTTATTCTTTGCAATGGTAATTCAGAAGGAAAATTATAAAAGGTAATTTTATAAAAAGGTAATTTATAAAAGGTATAAAAATGTCTGTTTATGAATAAGACAGACTGGCCGTGTGAATATTCACCAGTGGGATCTGTGGTACTCTTTGAAATTTCCCCTTAGCAACTTTCATCCCGGCCACAATCAAGCATAGCAGAACTCCCAAGGGTAAAACAGACTTAGGGCCATGCAGTGGCTTTAATCTAACCAGGAATCCACCTGAAAAGTGACGGGCAGGATCAGTCCAAATAACTCCTGCTTACATTACAGGAACTGAAGTTCTTTGAAATGTAAGCATGGATCAAGATTGTTATCCAAGCACCAGCTATTATTTTTATCTGATATTTAGATTAGATTGTACCTACTTCTGTCCTAAACCTGAGGAAGGGCACTTTGTACTTGAAAGTTTCTCTAATTTCTCTCCCAAATATACAATTGCCAAATAAAAGATACCACCAAGAAAACCCTTGCTTTTCACATATTTCTTGTACCATCACAGCTACAATAACACTCCAGCCCAACTACATTCTAGATTTAGTAGCGCATTTTAGGAGTGCAGTTTAATAGCCACCTTTATAAAATTTTAAGAGCTTTCTTTGTACTGGAAAGGAATATTTAAACATTAATATTAAACATTAACACTTTCAAAAGCAACATACGCAGAACTCCGTTGCTTTAAAAAAAAAACAACTATATTTTCCCTAAGGAAGTAGCCAGCTTGACCACTGGTTCTTCACCATCAGTGGTAAAGGATCCTTGACATAAGACATCCACAGTTCTGTGTTCTGGAGGCACCCTTACTTCACTTTTTTTTAAATAAAGAAAAGGAAATTAATTACTTTAAATTATAAATAAATAAATACATAACCCCCAAAGTATAGAAGCAGCAGTAACAAGAAGAGCCCTGAGGTCACTATATAATATTAAAAGTTCTAGAGATGAGAACCAGTTGAGGGGAAGGTGGAATCCAGACTCTTTTATTCACTCAGAACTCTACACCAGAGG